AGGGGGGGGGGGTCAGCTTTTGTTCTGTCAGCAAGTGTTCCTCTGAGATTTAGTCATGAGATTTCTGAAGGATGATATTCCAGCCACTTCACTGACGTGGCTTGTTTTGATGAGTTTACTGAGATGAAGACAGTACTTCAACTGCTGTCTTTATCCAGATGAAGGGTGGGCAAACATTTGACAGAGTAATTATCAAGTTTAAGATGAAAAACAAAACCAAACTCTTCATACTGTGTGTTCAATTGCATTAAAAGTGAAGTGTGCAATTGCTGTGCCACCAGCGTATTTCCAAAAATAATAACAAAGTTTTAGTATCAGCATATTCAACTGTGACAAAAGAAAGCACTTTGAGAAAATTGCAAATGTCACTTTTTTTAAAGGAATAGTTCACCCAACAATGACAACTTGCTGAAAATGTACTCACCCTCATGCCATCCAAAATGTAGATGAGTTTATTTCTTCATCAGAACAGATTTGGAGAAATGTAGTGTTACATCACTTGCTCAGCAATTGATCCTCTGCAGTGAATGGGTGCCGTCAGAATGAGAGTCCAAACAGCTGATAAAAACATCACAATAATCCACAAGTAATCCACTCCAGTCCAGTCCATCAGTTAATGACTTGAGAAGTGAAAAGCTGCATGTTTGTAAGAAATAAAGCCATCATTAAGATGTTTTAACTTTAAACCGTCGCTTCAGGCCAAAATACGAGTCCATAACCATAAATTCCTCCAGTGAAAAAGTCCATCTCCTGTTGTCTCTCACATCAAAATCCATCCACATATTTGTTTAGAGCTGTTTTGGGCTGTTTTTGCTTGTAAACGGTGCTTGATCTGTGCAGACTTCTCTCCTGATTCAGACCAGATGATCTTTTCACTGGAGGAAGCATTATTATGGATAGAGGACTCATATTTTAGCCAGAAGCAATGTTTTAAAATTAAAAAGGTCTTAACGATGGATTTGTTTCTTATAAACACACAGTTTTTCATTTCTCAAGACGGAGGACTGTAGTGGTGTGGATTATTTCTGGATTATTGTGATGTTTTTATCAGCTGTTTGGACTCTCATTCTGACGGCACCCATTCACTGCAGAGGATCCATTGCTGAGCAAGTGATGTAATGCTACATTTCTCCAAATCTGTTCTGATGAAGAAACAAATTCATCATTATCTTGGAATGCCAGAGGGCGAGTATATTCAGCACATTTTCATTTTTGGGTGAACTATTTCTTTAAACTGTGGTAGAAGAAAGTAAAATAACCTTAACTACAAATATATACCAGCATTTAGTGCAACTGTTGCAATGTTTAAATCAGCAAAATGAGAAAGAATATTTCAAAGTACACCTAAATAGTGCCGGGTCATGTTTGAGGAACTATGGCCAGAAAGAGTAAGAATATGAACTGTGGACGGATAATTTTATACTGAGCACTGCTGCGTATTGCAAAGAAAGTGCAAGGATCTAAATCAATAAGAGAAGCATATAAAAATGACTACTGCTAATACATTAACCCTAATGGAGCATTTATATAGTGTGACTAAAGGTTTCCAAACCATATAGTTGCTAATATGAAAAATTAATAGCAAAACATATGGAAAAAAGTGTATTTATTAAAATCACATTCTATATATTGCAAATTTCAGCTCTGGTTTGACTTCATTAAGCTCTTTGTGTAAAGTAATGGAAATTTGAAGGAAAACCGATGCATGCTTATATAATAAAACTAAATGATAATGCTTTGTTGATAATTTAGTGTGCCATTTGACCTCATTTCAAAGCAGGAACATACTGTATGAAAATCCCTCTGTAGTGCACACTAATGAGGTGAACCGTCAAAGTTGGACAGACTCAGAAACACATCCAGCTTTATTCTAGCACGATACAGCTGGAGCGATTCGACATCATTAGTGTAGGGTTTCTACAGTATATCTAATCCAGACTCACTGTAAAAGCCCTGATTGCTCATTAGATCTGTTCCAATTTATAGTGTGCTGCCTACATAGACAGTGAGGGTGCAACGGTTCTCGGTAAAAAATCGAACCGTACGGTTCTCCACACACGGTTCGGCATGCACTAGGACCGCGGTTCAACTTAAATCTGACAATGCATCTGTAATATGGTTTGTTAGAGTTCGGCTAATGCATGTTTCTGTTGATGGATACAAATTCTGGCTTCCCAATACATTACAACAAGAGCGATAAGAGAGAGAAAAAAAACAATTTGTGGACAAACCAGTCACTCTTTAATCAATGCAAGTGCTTTATGCTGTCATTTATGCCATCATCACGTGCTGATAGCGCAGGTGAGACCTGAACAGCACACGTTGCTATCTGTGTTTAAACTAAACTCATTTAAGCCTTGCCGGTTTAAATATTAAAGAGCCAGAAGATGTGAACTCGCGCGCGCAGTGAGAAGATCTGTGTGGTCTACATTTGATTACTTTATTCAATTTCTGTACCTAAAAACTAATGTTAGACCTACCTAAACAACCTGAAAAGCACTGTTTATTTTATTTGTATCTTCGCTCTATTGTATTTATTTGTGCTGTTGCTTGTAGTTAGATTATTTGTTCTTATTTCCTTTATTTTTACTTGACAATATAGTTTTTTCCCTAAACATAGCACATACCGAACCGTACAGAAACGGTGACTCTAAAACCGTGATACAAACCGAACCGTGAGTAAGTTGAACCGTTCCACCCCTAATTGACAGTATTTTAAGACATCACAGACTGTTCCAAAAATGCTGTCTTCAAAGATACCTAGTTCTGGCCAAATTCTAAAGCAGCACTGCATGATGGGAAATCATCACACATCATCATACTGTATGTATGATGATGTGTGATGATTTCCCATCATCAATGATGCACTTGCAATAGGCAGATTAGTGATCTTTCTTAATAGTTGTACTGTTTTTGTATTGATACAATAAGAATATGATTTTGTAAACAGCTGCTCATTAATGTACCTTTGCGATCTTGATGAAGTGGCTCAGGATCTCGGCACGGATCTTCAGGGTTTGAGCGGTCAAGATTTCCCGTACCAACCAGAAGCTCACCTGAAGAGATAAGAGAAATGTTAATAAAAAAAAAAAAAAAAAAAAAGACTAATTTTTAGTAAACATGCCTAAAAACAATGAGCATGTCATACATTTGTGGTGCTGGATTGCACAAAGGCTACCACTGTGACGCTAACATGCATTCATTTGCATGACTTTGGTTTTAGCACGTTTTCAGGGTGTTTTGGACAGTATATGCACGTTATGATGGAAGGGTGATCTTCCCAAATAATTAGCAAATAAATAGAAATTTGAAGGGATACTTAAAACAATCTGAATGATTTGAGCGAAATAAATAAATACATCTATAAATACATAAATATATATATATATATATATATATATATATATAGTTTATATATTATTTATATATTCATAAATAAATAATAAATAATAATTAAACAAAAGAATGGTCAAAACCAAAATTTGAAAACCAGACTCAAAAAGAATGAGAGAGAAAAGCAGAGGTCACGTCACAGGACAGCAATAAGTCAACTTTTCATCTGCGGTTTAAACTCATGACTCAACTGGAGTCAACCCATATCTTGTGGAAAACCCATTTCTGATAGACAAAAACAAAAATGCTGGAAATAACTGAGATGGAGGAAAAGTGTTGTTATGTAATGAGTGCAAAATGAGACCCTCCGCTCTGATTATAATAGTACGGCAAACACAGAACGCTGGGCGCACAGACTTCGCTTGGCAGAGACTCCAACGCAGGCAGATGCCAAATAAAAGAAAAAGAAAATAACAAAATTAGAAAGCTGGTGAAGCCTGAGTGATTCTGACCGTAGTAAATAGTTTAAGATTTCAGCCTCAGGGAACCGTTACAACATAACGGGAGTCAGGTAACAAACCTCAACGATTTCCTCAAAAGCTGCCTCGATTATATTTCACACAAGGGGAATCAAACTCAAGAAACTATTTAATGTCTGACAAATAATTAGAAAGAAATTGGCACTCTTGAACAAAGCAGGAACGTGAGTCATTGCAGGTGTAAAAATATTGCAAGTTGTAAATGAAACAAAGATTATTGGAATACGTTTTACAAGAAAATACTAGTTGAGTCTTTCCACTTAAAATGTTCTTGTTTAATTCAATGCATTACTTGCAGTTTCTTTGTTTTTATTTGTGAAATCTACTAGCAATTTCTGAGTGAAAACTGTTATTGTGTACTGACTGCAACAGAATTGGGATCTCCTTAGACACAATTAAAAAAATAAAATAATAACTTCATCTAAGATTAGGACATCAGAGATTAAGTTTTAAAGCCCACCTTCAAAGTCCAAAATCCTAAAGTGTACAAAATGTGGTCTGGATTTTTGCTGGTTTATCAGAGGCTAAAAACAGTCAATTTGTCCACAACCAACAAATGGCCGCAGAACTCTCCGAGGAACAGTAAAGATATCTGTAAACTAAGAATATATGGACTGAACCGTCCAAGCAAAAGATGTCTTTTCCATCGACCCTCAGGAAGTCAAAGCTTCCACAACATGATGGAGAAAAAGGCCACCGTAAATTTGGCCCATGACTTTCATCCTTAAAAGAAGACATTAAACTGATCGAGTACACAAAGCTTTAGAATTAACATCTACGAATATACAAGCCCTGTTTCTTAAATCCTAGTGAGCTGCCTTGCTGTCTACTGCTTACATCTGACGTGTACACAAAACACTCGTCTGAGGGGCCGCGAACCCATGCTTTACTAGACTTCTTTATTCATTAAATGGGAATGTTGTTTGAAGCCAACGCTATCTGACAATGAAAAGAAATTGATTAAAGATGGGTTTAAATTACTTAAATATTTGTGACTACAGGGTCATTCTGTGTCAAATCAAAACAAATTGCAGAGACTTCTGAAGGAAGACCAACATAAATAGAAATGAAAGACAAATATTAAATGTCATGGATGTATTTACTGTGGGACTTGTGATCGTTATGTTGTTTGTACACAGAGATTGGCTTGTCTGCTAGTACAATCTATTGACTTTAGCAATCTTTGTTGCATTATATGCCAATGGTGGCAGCTCAAAAATAGGAAAAAAAGCACTTTGTGTGTGTGTGTGTGTGTGTGTGTGTGTGAGAGCTTCTTTTCCCCCAAAGTTGGCATGCCTATAATTAAAGTATCCTTTTGGATTTTGGTTCTTAACAAACTTTTCTTTCGCTATCTCGAATTTTAAGACCCTATGTGGTTTAATCCCAGAGATATTTGGATCTCAATGTGGCTTTATTAGTAAATTATTAAATTGTACACAAATATTTGTAGTGGAACTGAGTGACTCTAGGTCATTCTGTGTCAAATCAATCAAAGTTCAGAAACTTCCTGGCTAAAATTTTTTATTTTGTTAATGTTTATTCTGAAGAAAGAAAAATATAAATAGTGACAAAAGCCAAAATATTAAATGTCAAGGATGCATAATCCACTATTTGATTTGGACCCAAAATACAAGGGTAAAAAGGACTTTAGAAAGATGGCAGCATCATGTTATTTTTACACAGAGATTGGTAGTTCTATTAGTACAATATGTTGACTTTAGCAATCTTTATTGCATTATACACCAATGGTGACAGTTCAGAAATAAGAAAAAAATCATTTTTTGTGTGTTTTTTCTCCCCCCAATGTTGGCATGCTTGTAATTCAAGAAGTATTAAATATAACTTTTTTTTAAATATATTTTGGATTTTGGTTCTTAACAAACTTTTCTTTTGGTATCTCAATTTTTAAGACCCTGTATGGTTCAATTCAGACAAAAATGTCATGGTTCAATTCCCTCCAAAAAAGTAGTGTGAGCCAGAAAAAAAGCTTTCATTGGCTTATTCAATGTCATCCCCTCATTAATTAATCATTTTAAAAACAATAAAATTGTATTTGTTACCCTGAGGAAATGCTGTGCAAATCCTGACAAAAATTTAAAACTACTCCTCCTTCATTTCATAAATGTTAACACTTTGGTGTCATCTTTATTAAGATAAACATGCAACGCTTGAGTCATAGTCATTGAGTTATGATCTAAAGAAAATGAGCTTCAAAGATGTTGGCCAAAATGTCAAGTTTTCCAGCAATTGTAGGGAATGGGACAAGCGTATCATAGCGCGGCAGCTGTGTTAGGTTAAAATATATGAACGCCGCTTTGCTAGATAAGTCATGTGCAATGATGTCATAGCTTATAGCTCATTATCAAATCATTTACACATTATAAGAGCTCTGGTTGGTATAAAAACCTGTAGAGAAACGGGGCACAACGCTTACATTTCTTGGCCCGGAGATGATGGTTCTTTTTCCAAAGTGGCTGTAAAGTGGGTTTTACCAAACCGTAGAGCTGTGACCCCCTTCATGAAAGAGGGTGAGCTCATCTGGTTCATTCCTACCCATAATGCCTTCAAAACGGCTCTGAAAGCTTCTGTTCCCGCTCCATAAATAATGAACTGGCAAAGAGCGCTACAATGTTTTGAAGGCCAAAGTTTCTGCTCAGTTGCCATGACGATGGAGCACAATGTTTCCATGTACAGTTCCTGCTCACCTGATTTCACTAAAAATACAGAGCTGATTTATTACATGGACAAACTCTACTAGATATTTAGCAGAGTTTTTGAGTAGGGCTGCATGACTTTTCTGAAAAATCGTGATTGTGATTTATGATTTAATGATACTTGTTTGCAGGGCTGCACAACACGGCCAAAATTTTGTAATGACGTATCAACATGGGTATAATAATAATAATTATTATTATTATTATTGCTACTATGAAATATAAATATAAAAATTACTTAAAAAAACAACAAAATAAATAATACTATTGTAATATTTCACCATATAATGAAAAATCTAATATTTAAGAAAAATAAATAATATAATAATTTATAAAATAAAATAATTTATTTTACATTATATAACATAAAATGCAATAAAAAAAAAAATCCAGGTTTGCTGTGCTAGTTTGCAGGCCTGCAAAATTTGGCCAAAATGTTGTGATTATATATGAATACAGATATAATAATAATAATAATAATAATAATATTAAATGTTCAAAAAATAATAAAAAAGTAATTGTTGTTCCTACTAATAAATAAAAATATAAAAATGGCTACAACTATTGTTACATTTCACTGTAAAATAAAAAATCTAATATTTAAGAAAAAGAATATAATAATATTAATAATAACAATAATATTAAAGTGAAGTGACGTGACATGTGGCCAAGTATGGTGTCCCATACTCGGAATTAGTGCTCTGCATTTACCCATCCAAAGTGCACACACACAGCAGTGAACACACACACACCGTTGATTAACATCAGTGACTCAGACAATAGCAACTAAATTAGGCTGCTGTCCCTTTAAAACCAAATACACAGCTGCAATGGATGCAATGTCCTGATACACGTTCTCCCTACTGTTTACATTCAATTAAAGATGTAATCAACTGAGTTTACGTGAATACTCGTCAAAACGGACAATTCGACATCATTTTGTGTGTAATTCTCCGTTCATGCAACTCGAGAGAGTACTCGCGTGCTGTGAGAGGCACTTTCTGTGTGTGTATGCTTCAGTGTCTGCGCTCTGAAAACCGGACCGAATTGAGTTCTCTCTTGCATCGTCAGATTTATCCATATGTCTGCTCTTCTCTTACTCCCACATACTGACATTTTTTGAACGTTTTATGCAACGTGCAAGCAAGTGTATTTTAGCTTATGTCCCACCGGTTCATATGTACGCATAACCTCCTAACCACGCAGCAGATTCGTTCTGAATGAATCTTATCCCAAATCGTCCCTCCCTAACATTTTCTTCTCGTTTTTATTCGTTGACGAAAATGTCAGTAGATTTACATCACAGTTTTTGTCATTCAAAAAGAGTTTTAGTTCGTTATCGTCTCGTTGTCGTCGGCGAAAAAAATGTCATTGACGAACATTATGACAAAAATTATTCGTCAACGAAATTAACACTGCTCTGCAGTGAATGGGTGCCGTCAGAATGAGAGTGCAAACAGCTCATAAAAACAAACAAATCCATCATTAAGACATTTTTAACTTCAAAACTGTTTCTGGCTAAAATACAAGTCCTTTATTAGAGATCGACCGATATATCGATTTACAGGATATTTTTCCCGATATTTAAGCATTTTACAATAATCGGATATCGGTTTTGTAATATCGGATTCACCGATAAACGCCAATTGTATTAACATTTACTATATAACCATTATTTCGCTAATAAATATCTAAATAGATACAACTCTATGGAAATTAATTATTTATTATCTCCACGAGCGATCGCAGTTTGAGTATAGTTCTGTGTAAATGCATAGATAAACTGCGCTGTCAGCAGGCATTTCATAATCTAGAACGACAAAAACATTATTAGTAATTCTGATATAACATGCCAGTTGAGAAATGCAATAAAATACGATGTTTTGTTTGTTATATTTCAATATTCCAGAGAATATTATTCAGTGAATTAACATTATCCAGTGAATTATTCTTCACTCTTTAGACTATTAAACAGCTTACAAACCTACTAAAACTGTAGTTTAAAATGAAGTTGATATGACGCCTTTCCTTTATTTATTTTCTCCATTTGAAAACATTAGACCTTCTACATTTATTTTGCTTATTGTTAATATTAGTGTTGCTGCTGATGCTTTAAATAAAATGTTTTTTATTGTTGTAATGTGAAGATTAAACTAAACATGAAAGACTGCTAATTTTTTTAACACTTTTTTTAAGATGACTCAGTCAGTCATTTATTTACTTTATAACAGTAAATAAATATCGGTTCTGCATAGCGGTTATCGGGCACATAAACATGCAAATAATTGTTATCGGTTATAAAAAAAATCAATATCGGTCGATCACTAGCAGACACACACGTGTCTTTACAGATGGCAAGAAACCAAAGCCCAAACCGATTTACAATATTGGTCTTCTATGCTTTGGGACTAAGTAGTTGTTAATACTGAACAAATTACAATATCGGTCGATCACTATCCTTTATCCATAATAATGCTTCAATTCTGACGGCACCCATTCACTGCAGAGGATCCACTGGTGAGCAAGTGATGAAATGCCCATGTGAGAGCTGTTAACAGTATTTCCAGCACATATTAAGTCCTAAAGCTGTGAGCCATCAGGTTGATAATGGTTTTGTGGCACAGTTCGCAGTCTGCTGGCACTATATCAGTTACAGCCCAGGCAAAAATACACTTTATATCCACTTCATACACTTCACATCTGGAAAATAAAATGAATATATAAATGAATAAGTGCAGCATTTCACTGGGATGACAACTAGGGACGAACAATACCTCCATCAGATCAGTAACATTCAATATCAGTGTTTATTAAATTGTCTGTTTCAGTGTGATACTGGGTCATGATTACGAGCTGATTTAATTGTTTTAAATGATTTGCTTTACTAACTTAAGATTACTACACAGTTATATATCTATACAACTACACATTTTGATTTGATTCTTGATTTCTTTTGAAGCATATGCAATATAATATATAATATAAAATAATATAATAATAAATTATTATATTATATATTATATATATTATATACATAATATAATGTTCTTTTTTGTGCACCAATAGTGACAATAGTAGCATAAATAAATAAATTAATAATTCCAGAACGTAATGCAACATAAATACAAATATTAAAATAAAAATGAATACATTTTCAAAAAAAAAATATTTTTTTGTTCCAGCCACAGCTAGCAAGCTCCTACAACACAACAGACACAAACAATCATGATTAAGACAGCAAATACAGTCAAATTGGATTTAATTCCATCGTTAAGATTTGAACTTTTTAAACCTCCTGTGGTTTAAAAGTGCTTTTTTTAATGACTGAGGGCAATAGGAAGCACTAACATACAGTGCCTTTGACTGACAGCAGGCCTTTAAGTGGAAGCAGAATTATTACACTGTGGAGCCCCTGTATTTAAAACCAAGTTTAACCGAACCCTGTTTAAGTGATGATTTCATGTTCTTTCAGCTTTGTGTAAGATCTCAAGTTTCCTCCGTCTATCAATAATTATGAAGATTGTCCGGATTATTTTTTTCAACTCAGTCAATCTATAATTATGCAGATTGTCTGGATTATTTTTTCAACACTCAATCCCCCCAAGTGAAGTTTGAGTTTACTTCATTTGCAGCTTACCCGTTAGTTCAGCTAAACTAATGTGTTCGCAATTATCCTCTATTTATATACTGTCACAAATGATTACTGACGCTGCAAAAACACAGAGCAAAAAAGACAATTAGACAGAGAACGATGATCTGCCCCTTTCCAGATGTCTCTCACAGGTCCTATAGTCTTTATTTGGGGTCGAAGCACATGCTAATTGTCACTTATTTTTGCGACTCCGTTTAAAGAAATTGCATGCATTTTTAAGACGACGTAAGATTTTCATTGACATTAGGTACACAACAATACTTGCTAAGACTGCATGTCCATCCCTCACAGTTATACAATTTAATATGGTGTCTACACTGACTAAAGAAAAAAAGGATAGATAGATAGATAGATAGATAGATAGATAGATAGATAGATAGATAGATAGATAGATAAGATAGATAAAATACAAATATTAAAATAAAAATGAATACATTTTCAAAAAAAAAATATTTTTAATTAAAAACAAAACAAAACAAAACAAAACAAAACAAAACAAAACAAAACAAA